GCAATTACCAATGGAACTCAGTCGGTTCAAAGTCACCTCCATCTCCTCAATGGTGAAGAGACACCTTCTAAATCAGTGGTTCTCAACCTGTGGATCCCCAGATGTTTTGGCCTTCAATTTCCAGAAATCCCAACTGGCTGGGATTTCTGGGAGTTGTAGGCCAAAACACCTGGGGACCCACAGGTTGAGAACGACTGTTCTAAATGGTGAAGAGACATCAACAGTGAGGAAACAACTTCTCAATGGTGAGGATACATCTCTACAGTGAGGTGACATCTCAATAGTGAAGAGACAACACCTCAATGATGAGGAGACAGCTTCTCAACAGTAAGGAGACATCTCTATGGCAAGGAGACATCTTCTCAGTGGTGAGGATACATCTCCTTAATGGTAAGGAGACATCTTCTCAGCAGTGAGGAAGCATCTCAGTGGTGCTGGATACATCTTCTCAGTGGTGAGAAGATGTACAGTGAAGTGACATTTCAATAGTGAAGCGACAACACCTCAATGGTGAGGAGACAGCTTCTCAACAGTAAGGAGACATCTTCTCAGTGGTGAGGAAACATCTCCTTAATGGTAAGGAGACATCTTCTCAGCAGTGAGGAAACATCTCAGTGATGCTGGATACATCTTCTCAGTGGTGAGAAGATGTACAGTGAAGTGACATCTCAATAGTGAAGAGACAGCACCTCAATGGTGAGGAGACAGCTTCTCAACAGTAAGGAGACATCTCTATGGCAAGGAGACATCTTCTCAGTGGTGAGGATACATCTCCTTAATGGTAAGGAGACATCTTCTCAGCAGTGAGGAAACATCTCCATCTACATTTCCATTCCCTGTTCCAATCCCTAGTCTGGGTGCATTTAATTTTTTTCAGGGAGGATTTAAGTACACCGATGTGGTGGGGTCATTCTTTTAAAGTCATATTGGCTAGGAGAAATTCTGCCACTTTGCCAAGGGTTTGGATCAGCTAGCCCATCATGGCATTTCCACAAGCCAACGCTCAAAAGTGCAGCATGCAAGACATGGCAGATCAAGGAGTGTTTGGAAGCGTTTGCAAGTGGACTGTGGTGGGCTGGCCATTTGGGAAAGGGCCGAGGACACAACTCTATTTATGGAGACGTATTCTATATCAAGCATTTAGTTAAATATACTTAATTAAACTGCCTCTCCTGGCCCACGGCCTTCTAAACCTTGATGGAAAGAGGTCTATTCTTCCAGTGAATTGAGACCAAATGAATGGAGTTTCCATCAAAATTCAGAGGGATCCGAGAAACCAGGAGAAGTTGAATTAAGGTCCTCTGTATCCACGACTTTCGTATATAAGGATACAACCATCCGCAATTTGAATATATTCTTTAAAATGCCAAAAAGTAAACCTTGGTTTTGTCACTTCATATAAGGACACCATTGTTTATATAATGGAATTTGAGCATCCTTGGATTTTGGTATCCACAGAGGGTCCCACAGTGGATACCGAGGCCTTAATGGATATATAACTTAGTAGCCAATACAGAATATTGCCCAATATTTGTAAAATGGAAACAGGACATTTCTTTTGTGTAAAAAAACAAATCCATAACCTATTTCATAATAAACAAAGACATTAAATGGCTGATTATGATGAATTCAATCCATAAAAAGACAGTACTTAAAGGTAATCATTGTAAAGACTCCATTGTATTTCAAATCCCTCTTTCATTGAGTAGGTATGTTAACAGTTTAGTAACAGTATTACTATTATATTTTTACATTTTCATTTCTTTTTCATGGTACAACAATCCCCCCCTCAAAAACGATCGATCCACTTTTTCGTTTATTTTCCCTCTGCAATGACCCGTTTTACTCAAGTTTTCAGCATTTCTTGCATATTGTTTGCATAAGGCTGAGAGGAATCCGGCACACATCCACCAATATATATATCTCTATATATATATATATATATTAAAAATGCATGTGCGCACAAGAAAGAAAAAACTTTGGATAAATTTTAAAAAGAATATATATATATATACGCATATATATGTGTGTGTGTTTGTCAAACCCAGGAAGCTTTATAAGAAAAGTTGCTGAAATCACGACCGATTCAAACAAACTTTACATATATCTCGGGAGTCCAACTTAACAAAAGCTGAATCTGAGTTTTGTGACAATTCATTTAGAGTCGCCGAACGACTTTGTAAATAGAGCACACCTATTAAGGGTTTATATTTTTAGAGTCTGTCGACTGAGTTTTCATTCTTTCTTGAATAAAGAAGTCATTGCACAAGAAGCCTTTAAATAGTGCTATCCTCACAATAACATTGTGTTTTCAGCCTACCCAACCCAGCCCTTTCGTGTTGAATTGGTGACATTTCCCGTGCTTCGAGCTTCACTTTCCTCCTCTTATAAAGGCTAAATTTGCCAACTCGCTATTCTTTTTTATTATTATTAAAAAATTAATTGTGGCACCTAAAAAGATTCTATCTTGGATACTATCACTAGATCTTGAGAAAAGGTGTGTTGGTTTGAGTGTGGCCTGAAAGTGCAGAAATCCAGTCATCCGGAAGCCATTGGTTAGGGATGGAAAGAAGATCCAAAATAAACTGATCAATGAAAAGGGAGAGACGTTTCCAAATTTCTGCAATTTGGGACATGTTTGTGCAAGAAATTAGGGGGTTTTTTTGCATATTAACAGAAAAATGCAAATTTTCTATAAAAATCTTTTTTTTGTGCAAAACACAATTTTTTTTTTAGTATTGAAAACATGTTTTTTTCGGCACAGAAAACACAACTTGTCTGCACAGGACAACACATTTTCTTTGTAGAATATATAATGTCTCCGTGCAAGAAGCAAATTTCTGTACAGAAAACATGTTTCTGTGCAAAACCTGCTGTTTTTAATGCAGAATACACAATTTTTCCATGCCAGGAGCACAATTTTCTGTATAGGAAACATGATATTTTTGTGCAGAAACACTAATGTTTTTGTGGGCATAAAACACGACTTTTCCATGCAGGAAAGATGGATTGTTCTGTGAAGGTAAACATAGTCTTTCTGTGCAGGAAACAAAACATTTTCTGTCCAGGAACCACATTTGTGTGTGCAAAAAACACCCTTTTCTGTACAGAAAATTCAGTCGCCTGCACAAACAACCCACATTATTTTTTTTCATGCAAAAAAGTCCCACGTTGGGAATTATCTTTGCAAATGTTGCCATTTGCAAAGTTAGAGGAAGTGCTAAAATTACTCCTCGGAAAAAGAAAAAAGGGCATCGTTCTATCCCTTCCACTGTTGTTTTGGAGGTGGATTTCTCTCTTTCATATTGTCTTTTTTTTCAGTGCTTTGAAAGTGTGACATGGATGCAGTGGAAACACTTGCGGCTGTATACATTCCATAGACATCTATCTACCAAAGATGTTTGCATTGTGTGGAGAGGTGCAATTGTTTCGGGTCTCATTCCAAGAAGACAGGAAAGGGGCTAGTCAGAAGGGACAAGATGACACTGACATCCATTCAAAAGGGATGCACAACCGCCTTTCAGACTCTAAAGCTAACAGAAGTGCGTGTGTGTGCTATATATATACAGCACACACACAGCCCTAAACACACACACAATGTACTTTCCGACTACTGGAGATCAGGTATGTTCTCTGTAGAGGCACTGCCACAAGTTGTGCAAAAACCCACCTATTTTCTTAAAAAATACACCAAGATTTTCACTCAAATCCACATTCCACCCCATTCACAAAGTTACAAAGAAAGTTTATGCTTGCTTGATCAATTAATCCAAGATGGAGATCTATATTTGATCCTTTCTTTTCCTTTTTTGGCATTTTGCATCCGAATGAATGAGAGTCGAGCCAGTGCCTCCTGGAAATGAAAGTCAAGGGACACTCTTCAAGGAGGCAAACAAAGGAATCATTTTGCAAAACCCTATTAGGACATGGACTAACGGTTCCCAAAGGCTGGACCTTTTGGACTTTGACTCCCAGAAACCCCATCCATTTTGGCCAACACAAAAATTCTGGAAGCTGAAGTCCAAAACACTGAAGGAACAAAGGTTGAGAACCTCCAGCCTAGACCTTTCATAACCCAGCAAAGTAGAACCAATATAGCTCGATATAGGCATTGATGTCCTCAATGCAGTTTTGGGGGGCCAGGACCTCAAGATCCCATTGGATGAAACAAAGAGATCCGTTCTTGTGACTTGTTTTACATGTGAGTGACTGCTTCTAGAACTATCCAGGAGTGGAAATTCACTATGTTTTCTGAAAGAAAATTGCCCAGGGAAAGTCTAGAGAGGTCAAGGGATGGGGTAGTAGACAGGCTTGAGGCCCTTCATTTCTTACTTTTGCACCAAGACATGGATGAGCACCAAAACTGCATTGCAAAGTTATGATGAAGAAACAAGTAACAGCAAAAGCCCAAAGTGTGGCACCATCTTTAGAAAAAGATGCCCCAAATTGCACCCCTGTCCTATTTTTAAAATTTTAATTTTTTGTTTACGTCACTCAACATGAGTAAAGGGTTGCTGTCCAAAGACAACGATCCTTAGTTAAGGACATCCAAGGCTGTTTGGTGCTACTTTCCTGGGTTCTGCATGAAAAGTGCAATAAAAGCATGGCTCCACACGTGGTTTAAAGTGGGGTCAAACTGCATTAACGACACAGTGCAGATCTCCCATCCTGGAACAGGTTTGCCATCCTCGGCCTGGAAGGAATGCAACCGCACTTTCTTTGTAACGATGCCAATGGTGTTTGCAGACGAGCACTGGGTTTATCCCCATTATAATGTTGCCATTGTTTCTTTTGCAACTCGAAATCCCTGCGAAACCTTGTGCGCCACTTGCAGCAGAAAATGGCACTTGATGGAAACGCCTTTTTTCCCTTTCACCTTCCGTTCCCGACGCTTAGCTTTCTTCCGCTTCCCGACCTTTTCCCTCCATTGAGGGCAATGCCTTTTAGAGACTCCGTTTTCCCGGAGATGGCGTCTTAAGCTTCCCGGTGGAGGCTTCCTTTCCAGAAGCAAAGCCACTGTCAAAATCCAGCAAACGAACATTCTCCATGTCTTTCTTGAAAATCATAACAAAACAAAACAAAAAAAGCTGCGTCCGTCTTTCCCGTTTTCCTCTTAGAACATTCTTAGCTTTGTACAAAAAAAGAAGAGAGAGAAGAGAGAAACCCATAACGGCGACAGCAAATACGAAAACGTTATGATAACGAAAAGGAAAAAAAATAGGGTGTTTCGTATACATTTGATAACGATGCCCGGTTCTTTTCTCTCTTTTTTGTGTCTTTCCTTTCTCCTCTGACAAATCAATCTCAACTAGGATGTAAACAGAACAGTTAAGATAACACTTTGAAATAATAATAATAAAAAAACAAATCCAGACGAACATTTATCCATCGACAAGAAAACGATTTTAAGTCCGGAGCACTTTCCGTCTTGATGGTAGTCACGAGAAGAAAAGTTGTTTTTTTTAAGTGTATTAAAGTTAAGGTGTTATAAAAGTCTTATTATAGTTCCCTACTACTATACAGTCTCCTAGAGAGAGCTCTGGTTTGTTTGTTTTGTTGTTAATTGTTTATATATATATATTTATATAGTGCTTTTTTTTCTTTAGAAAAATGTTTTGACATTCCCATGGATCAGTTTTTGGTTAACATGTCGACTGCGAGAGGCTTACTCTAAACCATGGAGGAGGAGGAGGATGGAAAGACGGGCGAATACATACAAGGAGACCAGCCTCTCACTCAAAAGGAAAGGTCCGGGGAGCTCCAGGAATTCGGGGTTTCAATAGAGTTTGCTGGAAGAAAAAAGGGGAGAGAAAGATGTTAGAGCAGTGTTTCTCAACCTGGGGGTCGGGACCCCTGGGGGGGTCGTGAGGGAGTGTCAGAGGGGTCACCAAGGACCATCAGAAAACACAGTATTTTTTGTTCGTCATGGGGGTTCTGTGTGGGGATTTTGGCCCAATTTTCTCATTGGTGGGGTTCAGAATACTCTTTGATTGGAGGTGAACTATAAATCCCAGGAACTACAACTCCCAAATGTCAAGTCTCTTTTCCCCAAACTCCACTAGTTGAGCATTATTGAGCATTCATGCCCATTTTGATCCAGATCCATCATTGTTTTGAGTCCACAGTGTTTTTTGGATGTAGGTGAACTACAACTCCAAAACTCAAGGTCAATGGCCACCAAGTCCTTCCAGTATTTCCTCTTGGTCATGGGAGCTCTGTGTGCCAAGTTTGGTTCAGCTCTATCATTTGGGGAGTTCAGAATGCTCTTTGATTGTAGGTGAACTATAAATCCCAGCAACTACAACCCACAAATGACAAAATAACCCACCCACCTATCCCCAATATTCAAATTTGGGCGTATCGGGTATTTGTCCTGGGAATTTGGTCCTGGGAATGAAAATACATTCCACATATTGGATATTAATATTACGATTCATAACAGTAGCAAAATTACAGTTATGGCATAGCAACAAAAATAATGTTATAGTTGGGGGTCACCACAACATGAGGAACTGTATTATGGGGTCGAGGCATTAAGAAGGTTGAGAACCACTGTGTTACAGCATGTCAAAATCAGTTGGCGAGTGTGTTAACTGAAAATGCAAAGCATGAAACTGATTGGGCTACGCCTGAGCAGGCAAGCTGAGCCTGGGAATTTTGGAAACAGTTACATTTTTAGGCTGTTAGCTGTGCAGGAGCTTACAGAGCTGCTGGAAGAGGGTTTTCCACATGGACTCCTAAGGTCCATGGGAGCTCCAGGAATTGTTTGAGTAAATGAAACTGTTCGCATGACTGTATATATATATTGCTCTGTATATATGTTGCCCCCTTCGGGGGTTGAGAAGTCACAAGATAGAAATACGGGAAATAAATAAATAAAATGTTTCTGTTCTTTACCGATCATCTGCGTGGCATCTCTTTTCACTGGCAAGACAGTGTGTGGACTGGTAAAAGCATGTGATTTTCATTCCGCCACAAAAGGTACATCATTCCATTCTCAAAATGGATGTGCTTCAGAGCATTGCTTAACAAATTGGAAGATGAGCGAACACTTTCGAAACTTGCATCGCAACACATTTAGTGCAGAGCGTTCCACACATTCTATGTCGGGGACATACTTTGGAGACAGAATTCGTTTTGTGGCACAGTCATTGGGTTTTATTGGAAAACCGAGGCTTAAACCAAACCCTTATAAAAGTCCCATACAGGCTTTCAAAGAAGAAGGTTTTTAAGATCAAGTCAGGGGCTGCTGTGGTTTTTTGTTTTCAATACGTTATTTATGGAGTCTAACAATACCAAGGATATTTAATTCTGTTTTGGCTTGTGTGTTTTCTGGGCTATTTATTTATTTATTTATTTATTGTGTCAGGAGCAAGCCAAACGGTTGTATTGCATTTTTTAATAAACAAACAAACAAAACACAAAGTTTGCAAGCTTGGTAGTTGATTAAATGTATGTGGCCACTTGGAGTGCCTCTGGCGTTACTATAAGCAGGTCCTCCATTGTGCATGTGGCAGGGCTCAGGTTGCATTGCAGCATTGCAGCAGGTGGTCTGTAGTTTGCTCTTCTCCACACTCGCATGTCGTGTATTCCACTTTGTTGCCCCATTTCTTAAGGTTGGCTCTGCATCTCGTGGTACCAGAGCGCAGTCTGTTCAGCACTGTAGCGAGGGAGAGAGACTATTTCCTCTTTAAAAACCTCTTTGTTGCTTTATACTGACTCAGTTTCTTCTTTTATATTGGCTGGGGCTTTCTGTGTGCTGTTAAACCTTTGCACTTTATATCACAGGCACTGAAACACTCTTGTGTATAAAGAAGTAACACAGTTTCTTTATAACTTCTGGCTCCAATGCTTGTGGTTACATTTGTGTTTAGTTGCAATCTTGAGGCTTACAGTCAGTATCATTTGCTTGGTTAACTTTTCTGAATAACCTATCAATGTTTCACATTCACAAACACGTTAATTGCTTTACATACTCTTGGCTGAATTATATTCTGAACTAAGGCAACACTAGCCTTCTTTATGTTCCTTAAAACTTGAGCTCTATTTAACTAACTGCTTCTCTATATCAGAAGTCTTTAACACGTCTTCATAACTGCTTATTTCTATCAGGCACTCAAAAACCAACTCTCCTCTTTACACACGGATTCCTAACTGTCATTTTCAAACTTTCTCATTCTAACTGCCTCTTTCAGAACCTTGGCTCCGCCCCTTTGGAATGTTCAGCTTTGCTCTCCCCAACTGTCATTTTGGCCTAGCAGCCTTTTCAAATCCTGGGCTTACACTAATCTGCATATGACCAATCGGCTTCACATATGCAAATGAATCCTATCTCTGTTGTTGCTATCCTGTCTGTGCCTATTCTTCCCTATCTGCCATATGTAAACATAGAGCTATACACCAAAACTTTAACATAGAGTAGCAATTTCACTACAAGCGCCTTCCAAGTCGCACAGTTTTCTGTGTGCCCTGAGGGGAGTCTCTCATTTGGTATCAGCGATTGATTGAGGTTCTGGGTTTGGGTCTGCCACTTTTGGACTCTCGCTTGCTGAGGTGTTCCAGTGAGTGTCTCTGTAGATCTTAGAAAACTATTTCTTGATTGTTGACGTGCTGGCTGATACCCAAACAAGGGATGAGCTGGAGATGTCACTGCCTTGGTCCTTTCACTATTGGTTGCTACTTCCCAGTGGATGTCAGGTGGTGCAATACTGGCTAGACAGTGTAGTTTCTCCAGTGGTGTAGGGCGCAGACACCCCGTGATAATGCGGCATGTTTCATTAAGAGCCACATCTACTATTTTAGTGTGGTGAGATGTGTTCCACACTGGGTATGCATACTCAGCAGCAGAGTAGCAAAGCGCAAGGGCAGATGTCTTCACTGTGACTGGTTGTGATCCCCTGGTTGTGCCAGTCAGCACAACCTGGGCTATATGGCCATGTTCAGAAGCATTCTCTCCTGACGTTTTGCCTACATCTATGCCAGGCATCCTCAAGAGTTTGCGACCTCGGTCCGTGGGGGAAGCCTTGCTCTCGGTTCCACCCCTGTCGCAAGCACGGTTGGGAATGAGAGGGGCCTTCTTCATGGCCGCTCCCCGCCTCTGGAACTCCCTAAAGAACTAAAAAGGGCCCCCTCTCTGCTGTTCTTTAAAAAGCTTTTAAAGACCTACCTATGCAATCTAGCTTAAGGAGAGGAGGAAGATTAGTATACCTTACACACATCCTTGCCTTGATACAGGATATCTACCTCTACCGTCTCCTTTTTGCTTTGGCTGAGCACTAAGATGGTCATATTTTGGAAAATTAAGGCACAATTCTCAAGAGTTCATTAAGCACCGTAAAAAGGAACTTACTGTTTTGTCACTGAAGTCTACATTTGTGAGACAAACATGCTGCTGTTTAGATCATCGACTGATAACTGAGATATCTGCAGGGGAAGAAGAAGGAGAGGAAGGAGAAGGAGAGATTTCCCATTAAGGACAAAAAATAAATAATTCACAAATGTATTGTTTCTACTCTACCCGAGTGAAAACCTAGGGTCCGTCCACATGAGACCGTGATAGGGTTATGATTCCAGTCTGACTGCTATGGCAACATCCTATGGGATCCTGGGATTTGCTAGTGTTTAGAATTATCAGCCCAAATTAAAAATCCCACAATTCCATTGGATGTTGTTAAGGCAGTTGAAAGTCTCAATCAAGAGAGAAAAGCGGCAAAAAATGTAATAACATACTAATAATCATATAATTAATACTATTATAATAATATAATAAAGTATAATAAAAATAATATTATAAAGTATTAATAACATAAATATAATAATCATTATATCATTATATTATTGCTGTGAGTTTTCTGAGCTGTATGGCTATGTTCCAGAAGCATTCTCTCCTGATGTTTTGCCCACATCGATGGCAGGCATCCTCAGATGCCTCCACCCCTACGTCCCACCTCATAATCTAAGATCATCCTGGGAGGCCCTGCTCTCGCTCCCGTCAACAGCACAGATGCGCCTGGCGGGGACGAGAGACAGGGCCTTCTCGGCTGTGGCCCCCCACCTATGAAACACACTCCCAAATGAGGTAAGATCCGCTCCCTCCCTCTTGGCTTTTAGAAAAAAACTAAAATCATGGTTTTGGGACCAGGCCTTCGGGCAGTAGAAGTAAATGTATGCAGCATTTCGGAAAGACAATGATTGGAACAGCGATTTGACAGACGAGACTGTTTTATTGTTTTAATGATTGCTTTTTAATTTAATTTATGTCTAATTGTAGTGTATAATTGTAATCGTTTGTACTAGCATTGAATTTTTGCCATTACTTATGTGTAAATCGCTTTGAGTCCCCCTCGGGGTGAGAAAAGCGGTATACAAATACTGCAAATAAAATAAATACATAAAATGATGCAGCTGCAATTTTGTAACACCATTAGATACTGCTTTGCTGTGAGTATTCCGGGCTGTATGGCCATGTTCCAGAAGCATTCTCTCCTGACGCTTTGCCCGCATCTATGGCAGGCATCTTCAGAGGTTGTGAGGTTAAACCAAACTCTGAGGATGCCTGCCATAGATGTGGGTGAAAAATCAGGAGAGAATGCTTCTGGAACATGGCCATACAGCCTGGAAAACTCACAGCAACCCAGTGATTCTGGCCATGAAAGCCTTTGGCAACACATTAGCCATCCGATACCTTTGTGATTTTTGGTCAACCCTGCATACTATAATAGAATGATAGATAATAATGTAATAAAATAAAATATAACTATCTAAAATAATATTGATAGGTTATAATAATATAATAACACGTAATAACATCAAAACAATCCTATAAAACAATATTAATATATTAATATAATACATATAATAGTAATAATGATGATGTAATTTTGTAACACTGTCAGACACCTTTGTGATTTTTGGTCTAATAATAATAATAACAACAACAACAACAACAACAACAACAACAACAAATAACCATCCAAAATAATATTGATAGGTAAAAGTAGAGGTTTTCCCCTAACATTAAGTCCAGTCGTGTCTGACTCTGGGGTGTGGTGCTCATCTCCATTTCTAAGCCGAAGAACCGGCATTGTCCGTAGACACCTCCAAGGTCATGTGGCCGGCATGACTACATAGAGTGCCGTTATTGATTATTATATACCAGTGGTTCTCAACCTGGGGGTCGGAACCCCAAGGGGGATTGCGAGGGGGTGTCAGAGGGGTCGCCAAAGACCATCAGAAAGCACAGCATTTTCTGTTGGTCATGGGGATTGTTTGGATTCTATCATTGGTGAGGTTCAGAATGCTCTTTAATGTAGGTGAACTATAAATCCCAGCAACTACAACTCCCAAATGTCAAGGTCTATTTCCCCCAAACTCCTCCAGTGTTTGCATTTGGGCATATTGAGATCTATCCTTGTTTGAGTCCATAGTGCTCTCTGGATGTAGGTGAACTACAACTCCAAAACTCAAAGTCAGTGCCCACCCAACCCTTCCAGTATTTTCTCTTGGTCATGGGAGTTATGTGTGCCAAGTTTGGTTCAATTCCATCATTGGTTGAGTCCAGAATACTCATTGATTGTAGGTGAATTATACATCCCAGCAACTACAAGTCCCAAAATGTCAAGGTCTATTTTCCTCAAATTCCATCAGTGTTCACATTTGGGCATATTGAGTGTTCGTGCCAAGTTTGGTCCAATCCCAGCAACTACAACTCCCAAATGACAAAATCAACCCAACCTCCACCCCCCACCAGTATTCAAATTTGGGCATATCGGGTATTTGTGCCAAATTTGGTCCAGTGAATGAAAATACATCCTGCATATCAGATATTCATATGATGATACATAATAGTTGCAAAATTACAGTTATGAAGTAGCAATGGAAATAATGTTATGGTTGGGGGTCAACACAGCATGACGAATTGTATTGGGGGGTCATGGCATTAGGAAGGTTGAGAACCACTGTTATATACTATAATAATAAAATGTAATGAGATAAAAACAATCCTATAAAATAATATTGATATAATGATGTAATTGTGTAACCCCAAATTGCCCTCCAAAAATGTGTGACCCTGTCATTGACCCTGGTTGACCCCTCTCCCCGGCACAACCGGACATTCGTGACAATAAAGCGATTTAAAGGGCCAAACCTGATTGGCGGTAGCAGTTGCAGCGAAAGGGACGCTGGTGACGGGTGTCGTTGCTGCAGACACAGTGGTGGGCGTAGCGCCGTGCATCATGGGGACTTTTATGTTCGGAAGGCAGCCACGGAAGCGGCATAACGGGAGGGCGTTTTTGCGTGGCGGGGGAGGCGCGTGTGCCGGGAGCCGCGGGAACAAGCCACATGGTTTTGCGTGCGCGGGTGCATGTGCGACGTCACGGGAAGGGAACACCAGGGATGGCGGCATGCAACCCACGTCAAGGAAGAGGCCCGGGGAAAAGGGTCACGAAAACAAAGAAAGGAAAGAGAAAAAAAGGGGAGGGAAAAGCCAATTACAATTATGTTTCAGGAGAACAAAAACTGAAATAGTCTCAAATGTCAACATTTATAAGCGGAACAACAAAAGGGTTGGACTTTGGGCGGAAGGTGGAGGGGGATGAGTTTCCAAATCGGACACCGTTGCGTCTGAGGATGACAACGGATCCTGCCTTGCTTTGGAAGATCATCCCCGTTTCTCCAATTTATGATCTTGAGTGAGCGTTCGGACAAGACATTGCCTCCCAGGCGCATGCGATGGTTGCACTGACCAAGGCATGCTATGGCTCTAGTTGCAAGACTTCCATTCGTCATTACATCATGCGAACCAAAGAATGTCCTACAAGGGCGGATCCCGTCTTTGTCTTAGGACCTTCCCTTTGTTTTGCCAAGGACTTTCCCATTGACTAATATTGTCTCCCATGACAACTTGCTTTGGAAGATCATCCCCGTTTCTCCAATTTATGATCTCGAGTGAGCGTTCAGACAAGACATTGCCTCCCAGGCGCATGTGATGGTTGCATTGACCAAGGCATGCTGTGGCTCCAGTTGCAAGACTTCGTCATTACATGCGAACCAAAGAATGTCCTACAAGCGCGGATCCCGTCTTTGTCTTAGGATCTGCCCTTTGTTTTGCCAAGGACTTTCCCATTGACTAATATTGTCTCCCATGACAAGTTTTGGATGACGGGAGAGGCAAACCTTAAGTCAGTGTTTCTCAACCTGGGGGTCGGGACCCCTGGAGGGGTCACATGGGGGTATCAGAGGGGTCACCAAAGACCATCAGAAAAAAGTATTTTTTTGTTGGTCATGGGGTTTCTGTGTGGGAAGTTTGGCCCAATTCTATCGTTGGTAGGGTTCAGAATGCTCTTTGATTGTAGGTGAACTATAAATCTCAGCAACTACAGCTCTGAAATGTCAAGGTCTATTTTCCCTAAACTCAACCAGTGTTCACATTTGGGCATATTGAGTATTTGTGCCAAGTTTGGTCCAGATATCATTGTTTGAGTCCACAGTGCTCTCTAGATGTAGGTGAACTATAACTCCCAAACTCAGGGTCAATGCTCACCAAACCCTTCCAGTATTTTATGTTGGTCATGGGAGTTCTGTGTGCCAAGTTTGGTTCAATTCCATTGTTGGTGCGGTTCAGAATGCTCTTTGATTGTAGATGAACTATAAATCCTTGCAACTACAACTCTCAAATGACAAAATCAATCCACACCCAACCCTACCAGTATTCAAATTTGGGTGCATTGGGTATTTGTGCCAGATTTCATCCAGTGAATGAAATTACATCCTGCATATCAGATATTTACATTATGATTCATAAGAGTAGTAACATTACAATTATGAAGTAGCAATGAAAATAATTTCATGGTTGGGGGTCACCGCAACATGAAGCACTGTATTAAGGGGTCGCGGCATTAGGAAGGTTGAGAACCACTGCCTTAAGTGGAAGAATATTCTCTCTTAAGAATACAGATGTTGACAGCCTTTATTTCCTTCTGAATTCATCAACCAATAAGAGGAAATGGGACATGATATGACAGCAAGATGCAGCCAATCGGATTTGCCTGTAGCACTTGTATCAAACCCAAGGCCCTCCAGATGCTGGACTCCAACTCATCATTAGGCATCATGAATAGAGTTGGGATACAGTAATATCTGGAAGGCTGCAAGTAGAGGCAGCCCTAGGTAATTTTCAACGGTAAGCAAACAATATTTTGCCGCCCCCCGCCCCAACCAATCACTGATATATATTTTCTGTTCGTCGTGGGAGTTCTGTGTGCCATATTTGGTCCAATTCCATCATTGGTGGAGTTCAGAATGCTCTTTGATTGTAGGTGAACTATACATCCCAGTAACTACAACTCGCATATGTCAAGGTCTATTTTCCCCCAAGAGCGCCTCAAGAGCGCCCCTGGGAAAATCAACTATACTGCAAAGGCTTACTTTGCGTAATGGTTGAGCCGCCCCTGGCTGCAAGTTGTGCTCTCTAGTTGGGAGAGTGGGTTTGGATGTTGGTGGATAGGATAGGATGTCTGGATTTAAAACTTTAACCTTGCCCCAACCTCAGAGTCCCAAGTGTTGGGTTGCCATTCCCATTATCCCCAAATCGGAAGTGATGGGAGTTGTTGTTCAATCACTTTTGAGGAACCAATCTGGGTAAATTCCAAAGAGTACTGACCATTAGGTACAACAATTATAGCTTGGCCCCGGATTCTCAACAGCCCTTTGAAGGCAATCATAGAATCGTAGAGTTGGAAGAGACCTCATGGGCCATCCAGTCCAACCCCCTGCCAAGAAGCAGGAATATTGCACTCAAAGCACCCCTGACAGATGGCCATCTAGCCATCTAGCCTGACAGATGGCCATCTAGGCTGATGTTGCCCTCAAGGAAAATAAAACCCTGGTCTATTGGATAACAAATACATAGCCAATCTGATGTCCAGAGCCATTGTTTCCTTCCAGTTTCCTTCGGCCCTTGGCCAGCCAATCAGAGATTTTAGAGGAAACAGGAAGATGATGTGATGGTAGGACATAGTTAATCAGATTCACCTATGTGACAATAACAGCCAATCAGATGTCTTCACAGATTGGTTCGGCCACTGGCACAGGCAATCGGGGAACACAGAGGAAAGGACATCATAGCCAATTAGATTTGCTGACACGACAAAAATGCATAGCCAATCAGATTTGCCAGACAGAGATCCGCAGGTCTTCCCAGATTTGTTTGGACCAGCCAAACAGGGATCACCGTGGAAATGGGACAATGTGGCAGCAGGACACAGACAATCAGATCCGTCTAAATGACAATGACACAAAGCCAATCCGATTTGTCTACGTGACCACAGTACAGACAGACCCCAAGTTACAAACAAAACAGGTTCTGTAGGTTTGGAAGGAAGTTGNGCAGGCAGTAATTAGATTAAAATAATACATTAAAACACACAGTTACAATTAACACAATTAAAACAATTATAAGCATTCATTTAAAACAGTTTGCCAGTGTGAAATAGTCTACCTTACTCCTTAAAGCAGGCATGGGCAAGCTCTGGCCCTCTGGTAGGCTATTAGGAATTGTGGGAGTTGAAGTCCAAAACACTTGGAGAGCCAAAGTTTGTCCATGTCTGCCTTAAAGTGTTAAATTGATAGCTTGGGAGCAAACTAGATTTCTCAGTGTAAGTTTATAAGGAAAGTATAGCCCTTTAAAGTCTTGGAGAAGTTGATTTAGACCCAGAGACTCGGAAATCACTGATTGTTTCACCAGCACAAAATTTAATGCAATTGCAGAAATGAATTTCTAGAATTATTGCAAAAGAGGGGCCTATCATCATTGTCCACTGGTTATGCAATGCAATGCACCGTATGCTATTCTTTTCTCAGCAGTTCTCAAGAAATCATCATCAACTATGCTTATGGATTTCTTTTCACCACCCTGTTAATGTCATATTATCTTAGACTCATTGTAACTGATTATTTATTTATTTTATTTATTTACTACTCTTATATACCGCCGTTTCTCAGCCTACAATGGCGACTCAACGCGGTTTACATCACTAAAATAAGCAACAATATACAATTTAAAAGCATAAAAACATAAAAACATATATCATAAAACAGTATTGGGCCACCAATACAATCGAAGCATCTCTTAACTAAAAAACATAATCCAATCTCATCGTCCGTGATTGCCGATCCTTGGTCATTAACTTCGTTGCATTAAAATTAACCAAATGCTTGTTGAAACATCCATGTTTTTAGTTTTTTCCTAAATGCCATCAATGAAGAGGCAGATCTTATCTCTACAGGGAGGGCATTCCAAAGCCGGGGGGCTACCACAGAAAAGGCCCTGTCTCTCGTTCCCACGAGCCGCACCTGTGAAGCAGGTGGGATAGAGAGACGGGCCTCCCCTGAAGATCTTAGGGTCCTGGTGGGCTGATAGGCCGAGATACGTTCGGATAGATATGTTAAAGCAGAAGGAGCTATCCAAAGTGCTGAACCCTGTCACCAAAACAGATTAAGCACCTTGGATAGCTCATTTAGCAGAGTCCCTGTTTCGTTTATTGACTCAATCGTTGAGTCCACAAATCCAATTAGTTCAATGGTGCTGCTGTAATCATGGCTAACAAAAGGATTTAGGCTATTATGTCAAATGTGTGCCATCCTTTGCATATCTCAAATAAGGATGTTAAAGAATTATTATTTGCTTTGTAATACAGTAAGAAGTCAGACATTTCTCAACTTCAGAGACTATCAGTGGAATGTAGTATACATGCCTCAGTAATATATATGTATTTCTGAAGGCTGTGTTGTGTTTCAGATGGGGAAAAGTTGCAGAGAAATCAATGCATGAATTTGCAACAACGTGTATAACCTAAAAGATCTGCATTTGAACAATACATGATTTAGTTAATAGGGAAAATATTTTTAAATGCATATATTAGAAGCTACATCTGAGCAGGGAGCTGCCCGACATCAGCAACATCTGCACGGGAGCCTCCATGGGCCTCCTGCTGCCTTGTCTCCTTGCTGCCCGGCACCTGCAACATCTGTTGATGTGGGAGGACTACTTACCTGGACTAACTAAACTGCTTTCTGAGGCTTTTCCATCATTTACTTATTGATTGTGTCAGGCAGACTTGGTGGCTCTGGTCCCCACCAACCTTCTCTCCTTTCTTTCTTCCTTCTTCCTCCTTCCTTCTCCCTCTTTTTCCTTCCTTCCTTCCCTTCCTTTCCTTCTCCTTCCTTCGCTCTTTTCTTTCCTTTCTCTCTTTCCTTTTTCCCCTCCCTCTTTCTCTACATCTTCCCCCTTCCTTCTCCCTCTTTCCTTCCTTCATTCCCTTTTTTTCTCTCTTTCCTTCCTTCTCCCTTTTTCTTTCCCTCCCTCTTTCTCTCCTTCTTCCTTCTCTACTCTCTTCCTTTCCTTCCTTCCTTCTTCCTTCCTTCCTTCCTTCCTTCCTTCTCTCTTTCTTTCCTCTTCCTTCTCCCTTTCTCTTCTTTCTTTCTTTCTTTCTTTCTTTCCCTCCCTCTTTCTCTTTTCTTTCTTTCTTTCTTTTTTTCTCCCCCTTCCTCTTTCTTCCCTTTTTCTGTATTGTCATTTAGCTTTTCGTCATTTAGCTTTTTGGGGCTTTTTAAGTCCCTTCTGCTGTGTTTTTCAGTGTTTTTATGAGTGAAGGAAATACATGGGGTTGTTAGGTGTTTTCCTTTGTAGCCTGAGCTCTTAATCGGAAGATTTCCCCTCACTTTCTTTCTCTGCAATAATTGGATTTGGAACAATTTGGCTTGGAAACAAGGATTGGAAATAGAGCTTCAGTTGAGATGCCTTTTCCCCATGATAGTAACTCTTCCAGGAGTGAATTTCCCTTCATAGGAATAGATCTATTTCACTTCCTGTTGTCTCAGCCCTGTTCTTAATTAGGAGCCGTTTGCAAGTCAGATGTTTGTAACTCGAGGACAGGCTATACACAGTCAATCAGATGAGGCTATGTTGGAGCTGTAAATAGTTAGAGTCGGTCTGGAGTGAGGGCAACGCATCTAAGGCGATCCCAACCCATCATATTGTTATGCAGACATCATATTGTTATGCAGAGAAATCAGAGGTGGAGCAATGCCAATTGAGATTGGGCCGCGAGGCAGCACAATCAAACAAGTGATAGTTTTTGGTTGGTTGAGTGTTTTTGTCCCTGGCCACATTGCACATGCACGGAAAGAGAGAAGGGCCATCCCAGCCTGTACGGTTCGCGGCACACGCCACGGACACCATGCACTGCGCCACCCATCCTCCCCTCGGCCTCCACGCTGGTGACACCCAAGTGCCTCGTTCGGATTTAGAAAAAAGCGGACGTTTGCAGAGTCCAAAAGCACCTACCAACGCTTGCTGTGGGAGCCATGCAGAGCACAGAGCCTGCGCACCATGCAGTGAAGCGTGGAGAGATGGACAGAAGGGACAGGTCATTAGTGAAGCAGTTCACGGGTTAACAGAGGATTTAGAAGACAGAAAGAAAGAATACTCTTTTGAACAAACACCCAAAGGAAAACAAGAGGCTGCCGCGGGTTCATTTGCGGCCACGGCATCCCTTGCAAAGACGCATGCAAAGTGCAGATTGTGGAAATTGTGCCGAAAGAGAATCAGTCTTGGATTCTTTGCAGCAAGTCCTCTATTTTGACATGATTTTGAGACACACAAAGCCCATAGCCAATTTCCTTAGAAATAGATATCTCAGCCAGGTAGTAAATCAGAGCTTTCCAGCCTGCAGTCCGCCAGAAGAGACCCCCAAACGGCATCCCAGTCAAACCTCCTTCAGCCCGAAAGACAGTGAAAGCCCTCCTGGTAGATTACCATCCCACCATCATTCCATTGGTCAGAGTCTGCTTCTCTGGAGGTTTTGAAGCAAAGGCTGGATGGTCATCTGTCAGGAGGGCTTGGATGGTATCTTTCTTTATGGCCAAAGGGGGTTGGACTGGAGGGCCCTTGGGCAACAAAAGGGTTGGACTTTGGGCGGAAGGCGGAGGGGGATGAGTTTCCAAATCGGACACCGTTGCGTCTGAGGATCACAACGGATCCTGCCTAGCTTTGGAAAATCATCCAACTCTAGGATTTTAGGATATATCAATCATTCATATTCATATATATATATATATATATATATATATATATATATAATGTATTCTCTATCTATCTATACTTTCTCTCTCTCAATCACATCATCTGTTAACTATGAAATTTGTGAGGAGCGCCATGGAGCAGCTAAGGGAACTATGCAATAATCTCCTGTATTACATAGGAAGTGTCAAGACACAAACCTCATTTAAATGTATGTGAAACTATATTATATTACTAGCTTGGGGACCCGGCGCTGCCCGGGTTATTTGAGAAAGGAATTGTGTATCAAGGTTGGACTTTATCAGTTATTTATATGTCTCGCAGTGGTCTCAGGAAGTTAGTGAAGGTACTGCGAGTCCCATCATCCATGGTCTGTCCTCGAAAGTGCACCAGGATGTAGAGTGGGTCATGGGGACTCTGTGTGCCAAGTTTGGTCTTGATCAGTCATTGGCGAGGGTCTCAGTGGTCTCAGGAAGTGAGTGAAGTGACTGCAAGTCCCATCATCCATTGTCAAATTCTTCCAAACCGCACCAGGATGTAGAGTGGGTCATGTGGGCTCTCTATGTAAATTGTGGTCCTGATCCATCATTGTTGGCAGTTGTAATGGTCTTAGGAAGGGAGTGCACGTATTGCAAGTTCCATCGTCCATGGTGTATCCTCCTCCAAACTGCACCAGGATGTAGAGTGTGTCATGGAGACTCGGTGTGCCAAGTTTGGTCTTTATCGGTAATTGGATGAGGGTTGCAGTGGTCTCAGGAATTGAGCAAAGGTACTGCAAGTCCCATAATCCATGGTCCATCCCTGGTCAAACCACACCAGGACGTAAAGTGGGTCATGAGAGGTCTATGTGCCAAGTTTGGTCCTGATCAGTCATTGGATGAGGCTAACAGTGGTCTCAGAATGTGAGTGATGGTACTGCAAGTTCCATCATCCATGGTTCATCCTCCTCCAAACTGAAATAGGATGTCGAGTGGGTCTTGCAGGCTCTGTGTGCCAAGTTTGGTCTGTATTGGTTATTTTCCGACAAAGCCACTGGCCTTTACCTTTCCTCTCTTTGTCATCTCGGAATCTTGAAATTGTGGCTGGCCAATCAGAGACCATATGCAAATTTCCTTCTCTCATGTCTCCGTTTCTGTCATGAACCCTTTTCTCCACCAGGGGCTCCTCTTGCAGCTGGCCAATCAGAGACCATATGCAAATAGCACCACAGTGGCAGCCAATCAGAAAACTGGCACATACCCAGTCGCACTGCCGCATACAAACTTTGACTTTTATTATATACATACATAGATATGTATGATACATATAGTATATTGCATGAGACAGTGGTTTAACTTCTGGTTTGCTAATAAAATTGTGTCGCAAAAGGATGCAAGGAGACACTTCCAAACCTCTTTTAAACATATATGAAACTCATATGTTATGTTATGTTATATGTGTGTGTATATATATGTATGAAACTCTTATAAGACTCTGAATTGGCAAAGAATCCAAGAATTGATTTGCAACGAATTGAGCAGAACTGGAAGAAGGAGGAAAAACAAGGCAGCGAGTCCGAGAGAGGAAAGAGGAAGGAGCAGTGTCTACAAATTCAATTTACTATTTATTTATTTTTAGCCATTGCTCCAAAAGGTATCAGGATTGGAAGAAAAGTGAGTTCAAGTCTCTTAGGAATCCACCGGCTTTCTAAAAGCACATTAACACGACACTTTCGGAGAACACCGTGTGCCTCCTTTGTGCTGAGGTTTGGAAAGGAAACATAGATCTATGGGAACGCGACAACTTGCGGACAAAACAAGGGATTGTTTTGAAAGGACTGGGCGTGACTCACAGCCTCCTTGAAAACATCTCCAGCTTTGCACGGCTGTTTCTCAAAACCCAGACTTTCCTGGCTATTCCTTTTTGAGTTGGTTTCTTTTTATCCACATAGAAAAAATGGCTCCCGGATAGCCTTACGATGCACCTGCACAGTGGAACTGATGCAGTTTGACACCGCTTTAACTGCCATGGCTCACTACAATGGGAATTGTAGCTTTGCAAAGCCCTTTCTGCCAAAGTGTGTGACGCTTTAGCAAACTATAACTCCCTTCTTGTCTTGTCAATTTGCATTATCGTGTCCAAAATGTTTTTTGCCCTTCGAAGCCTGATGGTTTATCTTTTTGGAAACATTCTCTTATCTGCCAATGTTGAAACCATGAGATTCTATCATTTATTATCTTCATCTCGTGTTCCGTTTTCAATGTTAATAGTCCATTTTCTTTTTTCAATAAATCTTTATATTTTGGCCAATTATTCCACCCTAGTTCTCTTCTTTGTGTAGCTTCTAGTGGTGAGACCCATAACGGGGTTCTCTCATAAAATTTGTTTTTATATTTTTCCCAAATTTTATATATGGCTGATCTCACGAAATGGGTTTCCAAAATTCTTTTCTTTTTTGACTCCCTCATACCATAAATATGAGTGCCACCCGGATCTCATATCTATTCCTTCTAAAAAAATTTTTTTTCATTTTCCAATTTTGCCCATTCTTTTATCCATATTAGTGAACAAGCCTCGAAACATAATTTTAATTCTGGAACTGCTAGTCCTCCTCGTTTTAGGTTCTTGTGGGTTTTTTCGGGCTATAGGGCCATGTTCTAGAGGCATTTCTCCTGACGTTTCGCCTGCATCTATGGCAAGCATCCTCAGAGGTAGTGAGGTCTGTTGGCATTAGGACAATGAGTTTATATATCTGTGGAATGGCTGGGGTGGGGCAAAGAGCTCTTCCCTGCTGGAGCTAGGTGTGAATGTTTCAACTGACCACCTTCATTAGCATTTGAAGGCCTGGCTGAGCCTGGGAAATCTTTTGTTGAGAGGTGTTAAGATGTGCCTGGTTGTTTCCTCTCTGCTGTTTTGCTGTTGTCCTCTTTTTGTTTCGTCAATCATATTGTTGTGACGGAGTCTTCGAGTAGTGATACTACTGGGAGTATTAGGAGGGGAAGAAAGACTACTCGTGAGCAAGACTCCGATGAAGAGCAACAGAGAAAGCGGATCCGGGAAATACTTATGGAATCCAGTGATGATGAATCATTTGTGGGCTTCGCAGGGAATAATGGGTCTGAGACTGAGGAGAGTGGTATGGCAAGTTCAGAGGATGAAGAAATGGATTGGACTAAAGTACGGGAGGTTCAGGCCGTCTGTGAAGAGCCCACAAGTAGCGATACATTTGTGGGTTTCTCTGGAGGAGAGGATTGGCACACTTGGGGAGTTATGGGTTTGGATAAAAGATGGAGAGACTGGAGAGATCGGCAAGGGGCTTCAGGTGGAAGGAGAAATGGTGGGACGTTGTCTGATTCCAGTTCGGAGGAGGAATTGGGGCAAGGGGCTTCAGCTGCAAGGGGAGTTGGCAGGGCGTTGGCTAGTTCCAGCTCCGACGAAGATTTGTAAATAAAAGTGGGGTTGGGAAATGGGGACTCCTTGCAGTCAGCAAGGTGTTGATGGGTGTCTGTTCCTGGGAGCTGTGTTTAGGAAGACGTGTTTGGGAAGACTTCTGTGAATGTAAGTTTAAACTGGATTATCCACGGTTTTGGTGGGCTGGAACTGTGAGGGTTTTCTCTGGATTGCCTTGTGTTGATCTTTATGCATTAGCTGCTGAGCTGCCGTTCTCAGTTTTGGCTTTGTGTAAGACCTGGACTGGATTTTCGTGTATGCTGACTTCTCCCTCTACTACCCGGATTGGATTCACTACGCTTGCTTCTTTGAGATGATGACTTCGTTTTGGACTGACTTCACGGAGGATAACCTCGGTGTTTCTGACTATTCCTGTGTGCTGTGACGACCCTTTGTGTGCTGAGACGACCTTCGTTTGTTTTGAGTGCTTTTTCTTGCTGCTTGCATAACTTTAAATTTAAACTGGATTATATTCCGGTTTAATTTGGGTTATTTTCCAGGTCTTGTTTTTTGGCCCAATTGTGGGTAATTTTATGTTTCACACTGAAGAATAAGTGTTTTGAGCCTTTTTGAGTTATTTTTTGGCTCCTTTTTGATTGTTAACTAAAAAACTGTACTTTAATTAATATTGGTCTGGTGCTTTAACGGGTCTGTCTTGCAACACATATTCTTAAAATTTATTCTTGGTTTTTTCTTTTGCCATATAAATTTCATAATATCCCTGTTTCAATCTCTTAGTATTGTTTGATTTCTTATTATTGGTAAATTTTGGAATAAAAAGATCATCTTTGGTAATATTTTCATTTTTACGCTTGCGATTCTTCCCAATAGACTCAAATTTAGGTTTTTCCAATTTTCTAGATTTTTTTTATCTCTTTCCATTTTTCGATGTAGTTATTTTGCAACAGTTGGACGTTTTTCGAAGTTAAAATAATCCCTATTTTAATTTTTTGACAGTCTGTATTTTCCAAGTTTCTTCAATCTCGTCTTGTTCCTTACTCGATATATTTTTTGTTGATGCTTTTGTTTTGTCCATATTTATTTTGAAACCTGACACTTCTCCAAATTCTCTAATTGAATCCAGCCAATTCCCTAAATTTTCCATAGGTTCTTCTATTATACAAATTATGCGTCGGCAAATGCCCTAAATTTGTAGTCTTGTCCTTGAACACGATATTTTTTCCCTAAATTTTCCATAGGTTCTTCTATTACACAAATTATGTCGTCGGCAAATGCCCTAAATTTGTAGTCTTGTCCTTGAACACGATATTTTTTCCCAGGTTATAAATGTCATTTCCTAATTGATTCTATCACAAAAACATAGAAAAAGGTTTATTAAACTGCAAAAACCAACTATCCGTCATGTCTTGGAACGGAAGATCCTTCGCCCGGAGCGTCTCCTGGCTTTGCACACCTGCCTTTGCTGTGCAACTCAGCAAACAATGCAGCGGCAGAAGGAAAGGGAGAGGCGCCAATGGAGGAGGAAAAAAGGGACTTGCTCAGCAAAGCGGCATTGCGGAGTCACCCCAAGCGCAAGGGCAAACCGGGTGTTCTGGGACAGCTGTTCCAGGAGCTCCAATTTTATTTCTTTGAATTAAACGTTGGTTTGCAATCCCAGGCTTGGGATTTTGCAGCAGGGTGGCTTCCTGTTATAATTTGCATTCAAAGGACAAACCACCTGTCAATAACAGTTAGGTTCCCTTGTCTCGCCCCTCACTGGGTTTTTTGGAGGGAAGGGGCCATTTTTCAGTCAGTCTCAAAAAGGAAGTCAATGCAGAGGATGTACACAAACGTCCTCCTGTGCAAAGGCTTCGTCTCTTAAGACTTCCCGGGGGAGAACAGTTTTAAGAGCCTCTACAGATTCCCAAAAGGATCCAGGGAAACAGCTTTACAGCCCTGAGGCTTCCAGAGGGAATAACAGCTCTGCACATCAACCAGCTAAGTGACTACAGGCCTGTTGATACATCTGCTAGCTTCTGAGACGCAGTTCAGCCGGTAGTGAACTCAAATCAGTCAGGTTTAGGTTCACAGAAGCCTGGGAGGAGCTAAAAAGGGGAATTTTCCTTTTAACAAAGTTCTTGAAGATAGTGCCTGTTTCCTGTAAACAAGATTGCAAGAGCTAATAGACCGTTAAGCCTGTTTGTTCATTAATAAAGAACTGTTATATTTAAGCTCAAGCCTCATAAAGACTGCTTAATAAGGGAAATTTTCCTAAAGGCTTCTTTTCGGGCCACCTGGCTTCCCGCTGGATGCAAGCCTAACATCCTCTCTTAAAAGCACTTCATTTCGGCTCCAGCGGCGACAGAACACCGGGAGAAATGCCATAGTGGTCAGCACACTCCAAAGTGGCAATGTTCATCTTTGGCATGACATATCCCAGTATCCCCAGCCCAGCATGGGATTCTGGGGTGTGTTATCCCTCTCCCAAAAGAGCATTTCCATGCCTCATCTCATCCATAATAATAATAATAAGAAGAAGAAGTAGAAGTAGAAGTAGAAGTAGAAGTAGTAGTAGTAGTAGTAGTAGTAGAGGTAAAGGTTTCCCCTGATATTAAGTCCAGTCGTGTCCGACTCTGGGGATTGGTGCTCATCTCCATTTCTAAGCTGAAGAGCTGGCGTTGTCCACAGACACCTCCAAGGTCATGTGGCCTCTATGTTAGAGTTATGCAGATTACATGTATGTATTAGAGTTATAGAATCACATTTAAAAAGAGGGGGCATTGTCAGGATTAATTTAGTTATGTATGTGTTTTTCAATGTGCTTCTATGCATTGCCAAGATAGATGCCACTGTGAATTGAAAATGCCATGCAGAAATGTTTATACTTTGAGGCTGTGATTAAGTGAACTTAAAAAATAAGGTTTGTTCTTGCTGAGAACAGAAGGGGGGAGCCAGTCTCAGCAAGAGAAGATAAGCAGATGTGAAGAGGCTTTCGGTTTTTTCTTCTTCCTGAATTGTAGCTCGCTGTAGAAAGACGTATATGTTATATGTACTTAGTAAACTTAGTTTCTTTGGTAACTCAAAGCCTGCAGAGTCCCTGTTTTGCAACTCAGAGTCTGCTTGATCTAACATTCCTTCCGCTGGGTATCGTCAATCTCTGACAACCTGAGCCCCTGGTGATGTAGTGGGTTAAATATCCTGTGCCGGCAGGACTGAAGACCGACAGGTTGCAGGTTCGAATCCGGGGAAAGGCGGATGAGCTCCCTCTATCAGCTCCAGCTCCTCATGCGGGGACATGAGGGAAGCCTCCCACAAGGATGATAAAAACATCAAATCATCCAGGCGTCCCCTGGGCAACGTCCTTGCAGACGGCCAATTCTCTCACACCAGAAGCGACTTGCAGTTTCTCAAGTCGCTCCTGACACGACAAAAAAACCCAAAACAAAACCTTCCCGCAGAAGCAGTACCTATTCATCTATTCACATTGGCATGTTTTCGAAATGCTAGGTTGGCAGAAGCTGGGACTAACAGCGGGAGCTCACCCCACTCCCCGGATTCGAACTGCCAACCTTCAGCAAGTTTGGCAGTTCAGCGGTTTAATCCGCTGTGCCGTCAGGGAGCACAATAATAATTTTCCTTTCCCTTTACTCCTCAGTCGCTTAAGCAGAAGGAGCCTGAGGCTGTTAGGAATTATGGGAATTGAAGTGCAAAACACCTGGAGGGCCAAAGTCTGCCCACGCCTGCTCCAAAGTAACATTTCTATACGCCTGCATTTTAAAAGCTATCTGATAGCTATGTTGCCTGTGGATTCTGGGATTAATAATCCAAAAGAAGACGTTTCCATGCTTTGTTTTTTCTCCTCTGGCTTTGCTGCCTGGGGATTCTAGGATTTAGTGTGTGTGTGTGAACATTACCACACTCTATTTTTCTCTCTCTCTTCAATTTCCATTTTGGCTCAGGATTTGGGGTTTTTATTCCAATCTGGAAACATTTTTTCTGGCTGGGGATTCTGAGATTTGTCATTTTTTAAAAAATCAATGCTCATGCTCTGATTCTGGCAACTGTTATCCAAAGGCACAAAGCAACACACCAATCCTCCACTTCCTCCCCACCAAAGATACCCCAAAATGCTCCCCAAAGGACCTACCTGTCGGGATAAAGGTGGGCGGTTGCAGTTGCATGTTGGCGAGAGCCTGCTGATAGTGGAAAACACTGGGGTTAAAGACTGGGGTGGCACCATTGTTTTTTTCAAGTGCTGGCCTCTTTGGTAATGGTTGAAGAGCACCCGGCGGCAGCGCCTGCAGAAGCCAAAGGCAATTTGGGCGGGGGGGGGGGGGGGGAAGGGAAAGGGGGGGAGAGGGAGGAATACAAAAGGGAAGGAAACACCGTTATAGACAATGCACTGTTGCCATTGCATATCAACAGCAACAGTGCTAGATCATATCATAATAATAATACAATAGTCCTGCTTATCCGACCTTCGCTTATCCGACATTCCATCTTATCCGACGCTCTTATCTCACGCCCCCATTTTCCTCCAGCATTTCACTTAAAGGAGTGCTCCCCAACTCTCTCTCCATTCCCAATAAGTGCAAAAGGCAAGACAAGAAAAAGGGAGGAAAGGGGGAAAAGAGGCAGGAGTGGAAGCAGAAGCATCCTCTCTCTTCCTCTGTGATTTCCACCTTTTTCTTCCGCATCCGGGCACTTCCTGCTGAGCTGCTCTAGCCCCGAGGCGTTGCCTTGCCTTAACTCTTTGAGTCTCTGTTGTTAGTATTCTAGGTGTCTAGCGCCGCGTTGGACAGATAACAGTAGGGGACTCCGTATTATCCAACATTTTCATTTATCTGACGTTCTGCCAGCCTGATTATGTCAGATAAGTGAGGCTCTACTGTAGTTGTAATAATAATAATAATAATAATAATAATTATTATTATTATTATTATTACCTGTCCGAACGTATCTCTCTGTTACCTGTCCAAACGTGTCCCAGCATACCTGTCTGCCTATCTCTGCGATCGCATCTCCTTCTATGAACCGGCACGAGCTCTAAGATCTTCTGGGGAGGCCCTCCTCTCGGTCCCACTACCGTATCTGTCTGAACGTGTCCCAGCGTACCTGTCAGCCTATCTCTGCGATCGTATCTCCTTCTATGAACCAGCACGAGCTCTAAGATCTTCTAGGGAGGCCCTCGTCTCGGTCCCACTACCGTATCTCCCTGTTACTTGTCCGAACGTGTCCCAGCATACCTGTCCGCCTATCTCCGTGATCGCATCTCCTTCTATGAACCGGCACGAGCTCTAAGATCTTCTGGGGAGGCCCTCCTCTCGGTCCCACTACTATATCTCCCTGTTAACCTGTCCGAACGTGTCCCAGAATACCTGTCCGCCTATCTCTGCGATCGCATCTCCTTCTATAAACCAGCACGAGCTCTAAGATCTTCTGGGGAGGCCCTCCTCTTGTTCCCACTACCGTATCTCCCTGTTACATTTCTGAACATGTCCCAGCATACCTGTCCGCCTATCTCCGTGATCGCATCTCCTTCTATGAAGAGTAAATCACTGACCACCTGCTGCAATGCAATGTGAGCCCTGCCACATGCACGATGGAGGACCTCCTTGCGGCAACACCAGAGGAACTCCAAGCGGCCAGATACTGGTCAAAGGACATTTAATCAACTACCAAGCTTGCAAACTTTGTGTTTTGTCTGTTTGTTTGTTTTGTTCTGTTAGGAATGTAATACAATGATCTGGTTACCCCTAACATGATAAATAAATAAATATATAAATTTATTATTATTATTATTATTATTATTATTATTATTATCCGCTCTAGTTTCTGATACCGAACATATGCCATCCAGTAGTCATCATCTCCTCGCTCACAGAAAACCATATTTAATAATCTAGAGATGATGTTATAGTACAACAGAGTCTCACTTATCTGACATAAACAGACCGGCAGAATGTTGGATAAATTAATGTGTCAGATAAACGAAAATGTCGGATAATACAGAGTCTCCTACTGTTACCCGTCCAACGGAGTGCCAAGACACCTAGAATATTAACAACAGGAACTCAAAAGGTTAAGGCAAGGCAAGACTTTGGGGCTAGGGTGGCTCAGTAGGAAGTGCCCAGATGCGGAAGAGGAGCGTGGAAATCCCAGAGGGAAATAGGGAGAACGCTTCCGCTTTCGGCCCTGGCTCTTTCCCCCCTTTGCTCCCTCCTCTTCATCCTCCTCATCTTGCCTTTTTACTTATTGGAAATGGAGAGAGTTGGGGAGCACTCCTTTAATTGAAGAGGAATTGCTGGAGGAAAAGGAGGGCATCAGATAGGAGCGTTGGATAAGACAAAATGTCGGATAAGCAAAGGTCGGATAAGCGACACTCTACTGTAGTAATCTTTCGTGGGTAGTCAGCCTCTCCCTTACAGACATCCCCGTTGCCTCGGCACTATAAGAGAGTTTTGCGAGACCAGTTGCTCTTGTTGCCACATGGTTTTGAGGCAACGGTGTAGTAATGTTGAGGCCGCAGACCATAATTTTGCTGTTGCGGACCACTGGTGGTCCACGGACCACAGGTTGGGAACCTCTGCTCTCCACAATGCTGTGGTCCATGTCTGATCCCAGAGAGTTCTAGAGAATCATAGAATCAAAGAGTTGGAAGAGACCTCATGGGCCATCCAGTCCAACCCCCTGCCAAGAAGCAGGAATATTGCATTCAAATCACCCCTGACAGATGGCCATCCAGCCTCTGTTTAAAAGCTTCCAAAGAAGGAGCCTCCACCACACTCCGGAGCAGAGAGTTCCACTGCTGAACGGCTCTCACAGTCAGGAAGTTCTTCCTCATGTTCAGATGGAATCTCCTCTCTTGTAGTTTGAAGCCATTGTTCCACTGCGTCCTAGTCTCCAGGGAAGCAGAAAACAAGCTTGCTCCCTCCTCCCTGTGGCTTCCTCTCACATATTTATACATGGCTATCATATCTCCTCTCAGCCTTCTCTTCTTCAGGCTAAACATGCCCAGCTCCTTAAGCCGCTCCTCATAGGGCTTGTTCTCCAGACCCTTGATCATTTTAGTCGCCCTCCTCTGGACACATTCCAGCTTGTCAATATCTCTCTTGAATTGTGGTGCCCAGAGTTAGACACAATATTCCAGGTAAAGTGGTCTAACCAAAGCGGAATAGAGCATGGGTAACATGACTTCCCTAGATCTAGACACTATGCTCCTCTTGATGCAGGCCAAAATACCACTGGCTTTTTTTGCCGCCACATCACATTGTTGGCTCATGTTTAACTTGTTGTCCACGAGGACTCCAAGATCTTTTTCACACGTACTGCTCTCTCGTACTGCTCTTCTTGAGAAGTGCTCTCTCAAGAAGAAATAAAAGGTGTTCTTGTTCGGTATCGTTCGGTATCCAGTTTAAGACCATCCCATAAATCACTGCTCGCTCTGCCACCCCTATTGCCACGCGAGACACAGACCCGACGCGGGAGACAAACACAAGCGTATACTATGCAAGCTAAAAAAAAAAAGATGGCTACATGCAAAGCGAGAAGGTCAGAGAGGTCCAAGTACCAGGTCAAAGGTGGTCCCGAGGGTTCGCTTCTGTGACCGGAGAAGAGCCGGCTGAGTCTGAGTTAACAGGCAGCGAGCGCATGATGGTAAATGAGCCAAGGGAAGGTTGGTTGGTTGTTTGGTTTCAAGCACAACAGAAAACAGCAAGCAGAATGGTGTCAAAAAGAAAAAAAGGAAAGCGGCACGGTGGAGGAGGTGAAGAGAAAACACAAATAACATGAATGCATTACATAACGAGATCGTATTTTAAAATGCACAGAGAGACGCACAGACGGCACATGCGCAACTGCAAGGCAAAGAGTCCCGGGACACAAATGCTAGGAGGATGATTCTTTTGCTTGAAACTGATGGCACCGTTTGCAGAATAGAAAGGGAATGGTTAGAAATCCAATGCTGCCCCGTACATTGCTCCAATAGGGTTGCAATACAGAGTGCTCAAAGTGCTGCTGTGCTAGGAGATTTGATTCTTTTTCTTGCACTCTGAAATCTGGGCCATGCATTTTGCAATTGGGTAGCTTTCCCCAGGTTGCAATCATAGGGTCAACAATCTATCAATCATCATTAGAGCCTTTAGATCCGCCCCTTTCCCCAAGTTTGGAGGGAAAAGGGGACTTTGAGTTCAGTCTCACAGTTTGAAGTCTTACAGTAGGACGTGTGGGCTTCTCTCTACCCCACCTGTAAAAAGCTTCGCTTCTTACAGCTCTGCCGGGGTCAAAGAAATAGATCTACAGCCAGCTCTGCTGAGGTTAAAGATATAGATCAGGGGTCCTCAAACTTTTTAAACCGGGGGCCAGTTCACTGTCCCTCAGACCGTTGGAGGGCCGGACTATAGTTTTTTTTAAAAAAAAATTCCTATGCACATTGCACATATCTTATTTTGCTGTGTGGAAGGGGCCTTAGAGGGGGTTCTTTCTAGCCCTCTTTAGGCAGTAATTCCAGGAGCAGAGAATGGCAAATCTTCCTATTTCTAGTCTGAACAAAATCTGGCTTCCAGTATTAAAAAAACTCTAAAATTATAACTGTAAATAAAGAACAACACTCAAACACAGGGGAACTCCAGACAAGAAACAATCAGGGCCAGCTAATCACCTCTCAACAAAGGATTCTCCCAAAAAAACTGTCAGGCTATGAAATGGTAATCAAGGTGGCCAATTGAAACATTCATACCTACCTCCAACAGACAAGAGTTCTTTCTCCCACCCTGGATCTTCCACAATTTTCCTAGTTAAAGGTTTTCCTCTGACATGAAGTCCAGTTGTGTCTGGGGTGTGGTGCTCATCTGCATTTCTAAGTCGAAGAGCCGGCGTTGTCCGTAGACACCTCCAAGGTCATGTGGCCGGCATGACTGCATGGAGCTCCGGGGCAGGCTCCCTTGGCTGGCTCACGCTACCCATCGGGCCTGACGGATAGCGTGAGCCTGCCAAGGGAGGAGCAGCCCCGCGCGGCCTACTCGCACGTAAAGCACCTCACAAGGTGCTTTATGCGCGAGTAGGCCACGCGGAGCAGCTGCCCTTGGCTGGCTCACGCTGCCCATCGGGGGGGGGGGCGCTCTTCCTCCACGGGACGGATAAGTGCCCTTGGCGGGCCGAAAGTGATATAGATTTACAGCCAGCCTTTGCTGGGGAAAAGGAAAATCTCTACAACTTTGCTGGAGAGTAAAGTTACAGTTCCACAGCTTTCGTAGAGATACTAAAAGGACACCAACTTGGCAGATCTGCAGCAACCACTGCCTGGTAAGGGACCACTCGGGCTATCCATAACGCATCTTGGAGCCGGGAGTTGGGGCCTCACGCCAGCAGGGTTAACAAAGATTGCCCAAGGAGCACAGCTGCGTTTCTATTTCTAGCCCTCATGAAGGTGGAAAGGAATACGCTGGTGTTTCTGTGCCCTTTGGAACCCTCTCCTCATTCATCCCTTCCAACATTTCATCACACAACCAGGACACAACATCAGAGGATGAATTTGGAACAGGATTCAGCACTTTGCTTTGGTCTAAACCAGGAATGGGCAAACCTGTGCCCTCCGGGTGTCTTGGACTTCAACTCCCACAATTCCTAACAGCCTTGGGTCCTTTCCTTTTCCCTTCAGGCTGAACATGCCCAACTCCTTAAGCTGCTCCTCATAGGGCTTGTTCTCCAGACCCTTGATCATTTTAGTCACCCTCCTCTGGACACATTCCAGCTTGTCAATATCTTTCTTCAAGATATTGACAAGCTGGAATGTGTCGTTGGCGACCCCTCTGAAACTCCCTCATTACCCCCCCCCCTCGGGGTCCCGGTCCCCAGGTTGAGAAACACTGACCTGGGAGGTATTTATTGAAATACTATAGCAAAATATGCTGCAAAAACCAAGTTTCTGCAGTTTAATAAACTTTTCCTATGCTTTTATGATAGAACCAATTAGGAAATGACACTTATAAGCCAGGAACAAGAATCATGTTACATAGTGTTATTTAAAGGCCATTGAGTAGCAAAATCAGATTTCATAGACGGAGAGTTTTGCAGTTTCTGATGTGCACGCTTTCTTTAGCTAGCGCAACTGAGAAGACGACTCAGAAAGGAAGCAAGTGTACGTAGTCTGAGGTCTCCTGTGGTGCCATGAACCACCCTGAAAGCACTGGAAGAAAAGCAGAGCTTGGCTTCCACCACTCGCCACTTACCATTGCGGCTGCAGCCGTTTGGTTCACCTGGTGCTGAGCTGCCTTGATTTTGGCTTGCAAGTGTGCTGGGGGATGAAAGTACTTGCATTTCTCCCGGGAGCACCGGCCTTTGATGTAATCCATGCACACCGTGACGGTGTTCTCGTTCGTGTCGATCATGGCAACTTCGATAGGGTGAGCGTAGCGGCAGTCATTCTCGCCCCGGGTGCAGTTGCCGCGCTGGAACTCCCGGCAAACCTTGGAAGGAAGAGGCGGCATTCAAATGGGAAGGAAAGGGCTGCCAAAACTTCCCGCATGGGGAATGCAAAAGACTACGGTGGTCCACGCTCTGGTTACATCCCGAATAGACTACTGCAACAGTCTCTATGTGGAGTTGCCTTTGAAGACTGCACGGAAGCTGCAACTAGTGCAACTTGCAGCAGCCAGATTACCGACAGGAATGGGGTACAGGGAGCACACTACTCCTTTGTTGCGCCACCTCCACTGGCTGCCAATTAGCTTTCGAGCACAATTCAAAGTGCTGGTGTTGACCTACCCTAAACCAGTGGTTCTCAACCTTCCTAATGCTGTGACCCCTTAATACAGTTCCTCATGTTGTGGTGACCCCCAACTATAACATTGTTTTCATTGCTACTTCATAACAGTCATTCTACTACTGTTATGAATCATCATGTAAATATCCGATATGCAGGATGTATTTTCATTCACTGGACCAAAATTGGCACAAATACCCGGTATGCCCAAATTTGAATACTAGTGGGGTTGGTGGGGGGGTTGATTTTGTCATTTGGGAGTTGTAGTTGCTGGGATTTACAGTTAACCTGCAAACAAAGAGCATTCCGAACCCCACCAACAATGGAATTGAACCAAACTTGGCACACAGAACTCCCATGACCAACAGAATATACTGGAAGGGTTTGGTGACCATTGACCTTGAGTTTGGGAGTTAAAGTTCGCCTGCATCCAGAGAGCACTGTGGACTCAAACAATGATGGATCTGGACCAAACTTAGTACGGATACTCAATATGCCCAAATGTGAACACTGATGGGGTTTGGGGAAAATAGAATCTTGACATTTGGGAGTTGTACTTGCTGAGATTTATAGTTCATCTACAATCAAGGAGCATTCTGAACCCCACCAATGATAGAATTGGGCCAAACTTCCCACACAGAACCCCCATGACCAACGGAAAATACTGTGTTTTCTGATGGTCTTTGGCGACCCCTTTGACACACCTTCGTGACCCCCCCAGGGGTCCCGACCCCCAGGTTGAGAAACACTGCCGTATAGACTACTGCAATGCTCTCTACGTGGAGTTGCCTCTGAAGACTGCCCAGAAGCTGCAACTAGTCCAACGGTGCGGCAGTCAGATTACTGACAGGAACAGGTTACAGGGAGCATACTACTCCTTCGTTGCGCCAGCTCCATTGGCTGCCAATTAGCTTCCGAGCACAATTCAAAGTGCTGGTGTTGACCTACAAAACCCTAAAGCAGTGGTTCTCAACCTTCCTAATGCCGTGACCCCTTAATACAGTTCCTCATGTTGTGGTGACCCCCAACCATAACATTGTTTTCATTGCTACTTCATAACAGTCATTTTACTACTGTTATGAATCATAATTTAAATATCCGATATCCAGGATGTATTTTCATTCACTGTACCAAAATGGGCACAAATACCCAATACGCCCAAATGTGAATGCTACTGGGGTTGGGGGAGGATTGATTTTGTAATTTGGGAGTTGTAGTTGCTGGGATTTATAGTACACCTACAATCAAAGTGCTTTCTCAACTCCACTAACAATGGAATTTAACCAAACCTGGCACACAGAACTCCTATGACCAATAGAAAATACTGGAAGGGTTTGGTGGGCATTGACCTTGAGTTTTGGAGTTGTAGTTCACCTACATCCAGAGAGCACTGTGGACTCAAACAATGATGGATCTGGACCAAACTTGGCATGAATACTCAATATGCCCAAATGTGAACTGGGAGTTTGGGGAAAATAGACCTTGTCATTTGGGAGTTGTAGTTGCTGGGATTTATAGTTCACCTACAATCAAAGAGCTTTCTGAACTCCACCAATGATGGAATGGAACCAAACTTGGCTTAACCAGACTTTTGGGAAAACTCGATGTTTCAGTGCTTCGTTTGAGTCAATGTGACTTTGACTCATCTGGCGTTTGGGGATCAAACTCTGCCCAGGTTCCCAGATGAGAGCCACCTGGGACAAGGAACAAGACTCAAAAAGGCCAAGCAAATACCTCCAGCTTATCCGTCCTCATGAGTTTCTGTCCGGTGGAGCCTCCCGGGACCGAAACCGCCGGGTTTCCCGGGACCAGGACAGGCGTATTTGGTAACAGCTCAGCAGGGACCAAGCCCATTCCGTGGGAGACGTGGCTCAGGTAGGGACTGAACGCCATGGTGGGGCTGGTGGCAAGCGAAGGAGTCACAGGAAACGTCGTCTGTCGGGGAAAAGAAAGGAGGAAACAGCATGACCACATTTCTGTGTACGAACCCACACAATCTCTTCGATCATCTGGAGAGGCCCTGCTCACGCTCCCACCTCCTTCGCAGGCGCGATTGGTGGGGACGAGGGAGAGGGCCTTCTCGGTGGTGGCCCCCCGACTCTGGAACTCACTTCCCAAGGACATCAGGCATGCCCCAACATTGGCAGTCTTTAGGAGGAGCCTGAAAACGTGGCCATTCCAGTGTGCCTTCCCAGAATAACGAAAATTCCCAGCAATATGTCCTCAGAATGCACTTTGCTACTGGTCTAGGACTGACTGCGCTCCCTCATCTCTTTGAAAACCATATACCAGATATATCTTACCTTGTTCATGCCCAGCGTTCATTTTTTAAATGTTTAACTATTACATTCGGCCCGGCCATAGGTTTTTAAATCCTTGTGTGTTACTGTTTATTGCTATTGTTTATATGTGATTTATATTAATTGTATTAACTGCCTCAGGGGAGCGTGCTTGCTCCATCCATGTTCAACATCTACACAAATGACCAGCCACTGCCAGAAGGGACAGAGAGTTTCATCTATGATGATGATCGTGCCATCACCGCTCAAGCAGGGAGCTTTGAGATGGTTGAGAACAGAAGCTCTCCGAAGCTCTAGGTGCTTACTGCCTATTACAGGGAAAACCAGCTGATCCCTAATCCATCTAAAACACAGACATGTGCCTTTCACCTTAAGAACAGACAAGCATCCCGAGCTCTGAGGATTACCTGGGAAGGAATCCCACTGGAGCATTGCAGCACCCAAATACCTGGGAGTCACTTTGGACCGTGCTCTGACCTACAAGAAGTACTGCTTGACTATCAAGAAAGAAGTGGGTGCTAGAAAAAAGATCATACGAAAGCTGACTGGCACAACCTGGGGATCACAACCAGACACAGTGAAGACATCTGCCCTTGCACTTGCTATTCTGCTGCTGAGTATGCATGCCCAGTGTGGAACACATCTCACCACACTAAAACAGTGGATGTGTCTCTTAATGAGACATGCCGCGGGGTGTCTGCGCCCTACACCATTGGAGAAATTACACTGCATCACCTGACATCCGCCGGGAAGTAGCAGCCAATAGTGAAAGGACCAAGGCAGTGACATCTCCAGCTCATCCCCTGTTTGGGTCTCAGCCAACACGTCAACGACTTAAATCAAGAAATAGTTTTCTAAGATCTACAGAGACTCGCTGGAACACCTCAGCAAGCGAGAGTTCAAAAGTGGCAGGCTCAAACCCAGAACCTCAATCTGTGGGTGATACCAGATGAGAGACTCCCTCCTGGGCACATAGGAAACTGGGCGACTTGGAAGGCGCTGAACAGACTGCGCTCTGGCACCACGAGATGCAGAGCTAATCCTAAGAAATGGAGCCACAAAGTGGAATCCACGACATGCGAGTGTGGAGAGGAGCAAACCACTGACCACCTGCTGCAATGCAACCTGAGCCCTGTCACATGCACAAGGGAGGACCTCCTTGCGGCAACAAGGGACATTTAATCAACTACCAAGTTTGCCAAAATTGTGTTTTTTTTATCTGTTTATTTGTTTTGTTCTGTTAGAAATGTAATACAATGGTCTGGTTGCAGATGACATGATAAATAAATAAATAGTTTCTGTTTATTGCTTTTTGTTTTTATTGATATGTTGTTGGGCTTGACCTCATGTAAGCAGCTCCGAGTCCCTTGGGGAGATGGTGGCGGGGTATAAATAAAGTATTATTATTATTATTATTATCATTATTATTATTATTATGGAGTTCAGTTAAGGTGACTGTAAGGCTTTGCAAAGGAGTTGTTCCGTCCCATCGGCCTGGAGGAGAAACCCGCTGAATCTCCCATTGCTTCCTTGCTGTCCTCTCTGTATTGATTCAGGCTCGTAAGGATGCTCAAAGACCAGCCCCAATCGTTAACAGCTTTAACGACACAATTAAGGAGCCACCTTAGGCAATTAACATCGTCATCCCGCAAAACCCACTCCATTCCTAACAATTAACAAAGGAGAAATGAGGAATCTGGTCATTTCTGAGCATGAGATCCATTGGGAATAACAAGAGAATGTGTTGTCGAAGGCTATCATGGCCGGAATCACTGGTTTGCTGTGAGTTTTCCGGGTTGTATGGCTATGTTCCAGAAGCATTCCCTCCTGATGTTTCACCTACATCTATGGAGCCCCTGGTGGCACAGAGTTAAACCCTTGTGCCGGCAAGACCCACAGGTCACAGGTTCGAATCTGGGGAGAGAGCGGACGAGCGCCCTCTGTCAGCTCCAGCTCCTCATGCAGGGACATGAGAGAAGCCTCCCACAAGGATGGTAAAAGATCAAATCATCCGGGCGTCCCCTGGGCAACGTCCTTGCAGACGGCCAATTCTCTCACACTAGAAACGACTTGCAGTTTCTCAAGTTGCTACGGACACGACCAAAAAAAACCCAAAAAAACCTACATCTATGGCAGGCATCTTCAGAGGTTGTGAGGTCTCTTGGAAGCTAGGAAAATGGGGTTTATATATCTATGGAATTATAGAGTTGGAAGAGACCTCATGGGCCATCCAGTCCAACCCCCTGCCAAGAAGCAAGAATATTGCATTCAAATCACCCCAGATAGATGGCCATCCAGGGTGGGAGAAAGAGCTCTTATCTGTTAGAGAAGTGGTTCTCAACCTGGGGTCCCCAGATGTTTTTGGCCTACAACTCCCAGAAACCTCAGCCAGTTTATCAGCTGTTAGGATTTCTGGGAGTTGTAGGCCAAAAACATCTGGGGACCCCAGGTTGAGAACCACTGTGTTAGAGGCAAGTGTGAATGTTGCAGTTGGCCAGCTTGATTAGCATTGAATAGCCTTGCAGCTTCAAAGCCTGGCTGCTTTCTCCCTGGGGGAATCCTTTGTTGGGAGGTGTTAGCTGGCCCTGATTGTTTCCCCTGTTTGGATTTCCCCTGTTTTCTGAATATTGCTCTTTATTGGTTCATTAAGAGATTTAAAGATGGGCTTAAAGCCAAACTTAAAAACTGTGGCATAGACAGCAAGAATTGGGAAGTCCTTGCCCTTGAGCACTCTAACTGGAGGTCAGCTGAGACCAGCAGTGCTGCAGAATTCGAAGAGTCAAAAAGGAAAAACGTGCCAAGAGGAAGGGGCATCAAGTCAACCCTGACTGGGATCACAATCCACCTGGAAACAGATGTCCGCACTGCGAGAGAAAATGCGGATCAAGAGTAGGGCTCCACAGCCACCTTTGGACCCACCACCAAGACACTACACTTGAAAGGCCATCATCCTCAGGCTACGAGGGATCGCCTAAGTCATCAAGTGCTCTGCTATGGCTGACTTCTCTGGCTGAAATTAGTCTGCAGTGTCTTTCATGTTTCTTGATGATCAACTGCAACACTTGCCTTTCAGTCCTCTCAACAATCCTAAGGTAGGCTGCATCTACACCAGGCATGGGCTTAAGTAGCTGATGGGTACAAAGAAGGGGCTTGAGGCTGTTTGGAATTGTGGGAGTTGAAGTCCAAAACACCTGAAGGGCCAAAGTTTGCCCATGCCTGATCTACACTGAAGACGCAGGTTCGCAGCTTGGGAGTGATCCTAGACTCATAGCTGAGCCTGGAACCTCAGGTCTCAGCGGTGGCCAGGAGAGCTTTTGCACAATTAAAACTTGTGCACCAGTTGCGCCCGTACCTTGGGAAGTCGGATCTGGCCACGGTGGTCCACGCTCTTGTTGCATCCCGAATAGATTACTGCAACGCACTCTACATGGGGTTGCCCTTGAAGACTGCTCGGAAACTTCAACTGGTCCAACGAGTGGCAGCCAGATTACTCACCGGAGCGTCATACAGGGAGCACACCACCCCCCTGTTCTGTCAGCTCCACTGGCTGCCGGTTCAGTTCCGAGCACAATTCAAGGTGCTGGTTTTGACCTACAAAACCCTATACGGTTCCGGTCCAGCGTATCTGTCCGAACGCATTTCCCTCTACGTCCCACCCCGGAGTTTGAGATCATCTGGGGAGGCCCTGCTCTCGACCCAACCACTATCACAAGTGAGGCTGGTGGGGACAAGGAGCAGGACCTTCTCAGTTGTGGCCCCTCACCTGTGGAACTCACTCCCCGGGGGAAATTAGGTCATCAACATCCCTCCTCTCCTTCAGGAGGAAAGTAAAAACGTGGTTGTGGGACCAGGCTTTCGGGCAATCTGACAACTAGATAAGGACAATCAGACGACTAGGACTGACAGGACTGACAAAGTGGAACTGGAAATTGGACTATGAGATGGCGAATGCTGAGCGTTAATTGTGTGAAATCGGGTTTTATAGTTGTAATGCAGAAACGGATTGCTAATTGTTTAACTGCTGCTATATTGTTTTTATTCTATTGTTATGTTGATGCCGGCATCGAATTGTGCCTTTGTAAGCTGCCCTGAGTCCCCTCCGGGGTGAGAAGGGCGGGGTAGAAGGTTTTTTTTTTTGTCGTGTCAGGAGCGACTTGAGAAACTGCAAGTCGCTCCTGTTGTGAGAGAATTGGCCGTCTGCAAGGACGTTGCCCAGGGGACGCCCGGATGATTTTTGATGTTTTTATCATCCTTGTGGGAGGCTTCTCTCATGTCCCCGCATGAGGAGCTGGAACTGATAGAGGGAGCTCATCCGCCTCTCCCCGGATTCGAACCTGCGACCTGTCGGTCTTCAGTCCTGCCGGCACAGGGGTTTAACCCACTGCACCACCGGGGGCGATGTTAGAAGTAACCAAAATAAATATAACTAAATAAAAATCAATGCAGTTTGAGATCACGCTGACCGTCATAACTCAATCCTATAGAATCTCAGGAGCTGTAGTTTGACAAAAGCCTTCTCGGCCAAAGTTACAACTCCCAGGATTCCACAGAATTGAGACATAACAGTTAAAATGGTGACGAACTGCATTCATTCTACAGTGCAGACGCAGCCATAAACAGATCTGAAAAGAGTTCCTTTGAAGCGACACGGTTTCATTGCCCTCGTGACATCGGAGCCAACAGTTGCCGCTGAAAATGGATCGTAAAAACTGGGAATGTTTCAGTTCTTCATTCCGCCCGATGCAAATACAGCCATGACTCAGATAAATCCAAGAATCTCTCCGTAGTGTCCTTTTGTCGAACAAGCCTCCTGTCCTACTTCTGCCAGCGGTTCAATTGTTGGGTCTATTTTAAGGCCTTGGTAACCCGGTCACGGGCGAACGCGCCGGACGAAAGCGGGCTCCACTCTGCCGGAGGCCTCAGACATCTCCGAAATGAAACTGGGATGAAACGACATTCCTCCCAAACCCATCCATTTATTATTTCATAGCCTGCTTTTCTCCCAGTATGAGATGCAAAGCCACTGATGATATCCACAGCTTAGAACAAAAAAAAACAGCTTGGGGGTGCATCAAACTGCATTCATTCAAGCCCTCTTTCACCACTCAACGCTATGGACTCCTGGGCGTTGTAGTTGGCCCTTTTGGTGCAAATAAAGCACAAGAGCTTGCAACTCCAATGTTTACACAGTAAGAGGAACCCTTGTGGAGACTTACAATGGGTTGCAACTGGGCTCCAGGGAGCATGAACTGCATCTGCTGGGCAAACATGGCTGCGGCGGTCTTCTGCTGGATCAGGTTGTTGCGTCCGTTGATTTCGAGTTGCGTTTTTAAGTGCGGTGGAGGGTGAAGGTACTTGCAGTTTTCGCGGGTGCAGCGGCCCTGGAAAGAAAAAAAGAACCATATATATCAGAATCACAGATGCCTTAAAGGGCGTTAGTTCCAAACAGAGTTTATTGATGCAAAAGAAAAGGACACAGAGACACTTAAACTCAATGCCTCTGGTCAAAACTCAAATGTAAAACCAGTCCTGGTTCAAAATGTAAACAGAGGTATAATCCGGATTATCCAGATAAAAGGACCGAATCAAACACAGTACTCTGAAGCCACACAAAGAAGGCACAGCATGCAAACGGTAAACAAAAGCAGAAAAGCCGCAGGGAGAGGAGCATAGTCAAGCAAAGTCCAGGGTCATAGCAAGAGAAATCCGAAATAGCGAAGTTCCACAGTTCACAGAAGCAGCATCGTAGTCAAGCCGGTCCAAGGTCCAGGAAGGGGGACATCCACACTCACGAGAATCCAATCCGAGTCGAAAGCACACACGAACAGGAACAGCAACCTGCAGATCCCAAACCCAATGCCGAACACGAAACAGGCAGCGACAAGACAATACCCAATGCACAAACCAACACCTTGCCTTCTGCAAAGATCCCCCATTTCTGAACCCATTTTTATCTACACATCCTCATCAGAAGATGAACTGACCAGATCCCAAACCCAATGCCAAACACGAAACAGGCAGCGATAAATCCAGACAGTACCCAATGCACGAACATTTACCAACACCTTGCCTTCTGCAAAGATTCCCCCATTTCTAAATCCATTTTTATCTACACATCCTCATCAGAAGATGAACTGACCACCGCCCCATGATTATCCTTTGCAGCTGCTCCCAACTCTTCGCATGAAGTCCTATGCCCATCCCGCCATCTTCTCCATCTCCTGTCAAGACTTAGATTCCCCCCAAGACTCAGTTGTGTTCCCTGATTGCCAGTCTTCACTCCCAGAGAATCCCATAAATATATCACTAGATGTTGGCTCCGCACAAATAGCTTGCACTTCCTTTACCTTAGTCCAATCCACAGTGTCATCCCCGTTTTCTCCAGTCGGTGACCCTTCATCCCCAGAGAATCCCTCAAATGAATCCTCATCTGTAGGTGCCGTAAGTATATCCCGGATCCTCTTCCTTTGTCACTCCTCATCTGATTCTTGCTCCCGAGTAACCCTCTTTCTTCCCCTATTCCCATCCCTTGTGTCTCCCTCCTCTCCTTCACTCATTGACCCTTCATCCCCAGAGAACCCCTCAAATGAGTACTCATCTGTAGGTGGCATAAGTATATCCCGGATCCTTTTCGTCTGTTGTTCCTCATCAGACTTCTGCTCACGAGTAACCCTTTCCCCCCTTCTGGCACCCAAACTATTACTTGCAACGTTACTCACAGGCTCTACTACAACTATATACACACACACACACACACACACACCACACACACACACATTTGTCACATCTATATACAAGAACTGTCTCCAAAGCACTGAACCTTAGTCATTGTCATACACCAGAGCAGGAACACCTCTGACCTTAAACACCACATCAGCTTAGTAAAATCAGCAAGCAGTTTGTTGCAGAATATATGTAGGCAAAGCAGTAAAAAAAATAGAAAAACAGTAATGGTTCAAAATCCAAAATAGTCCATCAACTTCAAAGGGAAACAAGATCAATGAATACATGGAAATCCATGAAAACAAATACTTGAAACCATGGAAAAAACAGCAGGAAAACCCCCAAGGCAAAACGTAAGCTTGGCAAAAACTTAGTACATGAAACTCAGAGCGCTAGGATGCAAGACTGTGATAAAATAACAATGTTGATTCGACTGAGGCAACTGTCTTCCATGAATTATTATAAACATTTCCCAGATTCCAAAAGTGCAAGGAAAGCATTTTTCTTGACCTTTCCACACGATTTGTTATCTCTCTTCTGCTGTAGCCGAACTGATCGCCTCAGTCTCTGAAAGTTCTGCCTCTGTTTACTAAAACTTCGCTTTCTGTCCAACATTTACTATCCTCTCCCTCCTTAACTCCTGTACACGGCAAATCAGTCTCAGCCAGTTGCTCTGGGAAAAGCAGTGAGAGGCCTCTCTTAGGAATGTGACCTTGTGAATCATCCTGAAACAGCTCAGGCCTCTCTTCTGAGATTAGCTCAGGCCCAAGCAACCCCTCATCCCCAAATGCCACAGACCCTGGCCCAGCAACCAGAACATCATCTTCATTCCCATCAAGAACATTCCCATCATAAACATCAACATGAACATCATGAACATCAAACACAATCACAGGCTGAACAGGCTGACATACAACAGTCACCCCATATAGCAGTGTTTCTCAGCCTCCTGACCCCCAGGTTGAGAAACACTGCCATATAGGGCCAGAACCTTTTCTGGACTTAAATGGACAAAATATATTATGGCACGGAACACAAGACCATGGCTCAATTCCAAAGATTTTTCTTCTCCTAAAGAGACTGGGTCCCGTTCTGATCTTGGATGCTAAGCAGGGCCAGCCTTGGCTAATACTTGAGTGGGAGACACTAATAGATAAAGCTATAGGCTTTATTTTGGAGGATGGAACTGGCAAATCCCCCTCTGAGGATCTCCTGCCTAAGGAAACCCTATGAAATGTGTAGGGTCGATGTAAAGAGCTGCAAGACCAAGAAGAAGCCACAAGAGTCAAGACAAAGACCCACCCAGAGGAAAAGTGTTCTTGCCATACATTAAGGGAAACACTGACCGCAGAGGGAAGCTGATGAGGAAACACAACATACAAACTATCTACAGACCCACCAAGAAAATCCAACAAATGCTACGTTCAGCAAAGGACAAGAGGGATCCTCTCACTTCTGCAGGAGTCTCCCATATCCCTTGCAGCTGTGGACAAGTCTACCTAGGGACCACCAAACGCAGCAATGCCCAAATATGAATTAAGGACCATGAAAGGCACTGCAGACTAATCCAACCAGAGAAATCAGCCATAGCAGAGCACCTGATGAACCAACCTGTTCACAGTATATTATTTGAGAACACAGAACTGCTGGACCACTCTCACAACCACCATGTCAGACAACATAGAGAAGCCATTGAAATCCACAAGCGTGCGGACAATTTCAACAGAAAGGAAGAAACCATGAAAATGAAGAAAATTTGGCAACTAGTATTTTAAAAACTCTAAAATCAGTAAATAAAGAACAACACTCAAAAACGGAAATTCCAGATAGGAAATAATCAGGGCAGGCTAACACCTCCTAACAAAGGATTTCCCCAGGCAGGAAGCAGCCAGGCTTTGAAGCTGCAAGACTATTCAATGCTAATCAAGGTGACCAACTGCAACATTCACACCTGCCCCAAGCAAACAAGAGTTCTTTCTCCTATCCTGGACATTCCATAGGTATATAGATCCCACTTGCCTAATTTCCAACAGACTTCACAAACTCTGAGGATGTCTGCCATAGATGTGGGTGAAATGTCAGAAGAGAATGCTTCAGGAATATGACCAGACAGCTTGGAAAACTCACAGCAACCCAGTGATACCAGCCACGAAAGCTTTCGAAAACAACAACAACATAGGTTTTTCTCCAGCAGTACCCAGAGAACTAGAGTGAATGCTCCACCAAGGCTCAGCTTGGGAAAGTTGGGTGGTTACAACTCCAAATAAATAATAGAATCAATTGCTTTAGTCTACAATTAGGAATTGCAGTTCCCTGCAATGTAGAAAGCTAGCACTGTGCTGTCATGCGCTGGGCCTATAGCAGTTGGCTTTTGAACAGGACGTGCTCTTTGTGCCCAGCAGGAAGCCGGGGTGCCTCGACTGAGAGGCCCTAAGGATTTTCCTATACAGAGTCTTTAGAAGCTTGAAAGGTTTAACAAAGTCCTTTATTATTGCTTAAGTCTTCAACAAACAATCGAATACTTCTTAGATCTTCAACAAATTAAACAAATGCTTCATTCAAGGCTTTGAATCAACTGGTGGGCACCTTGCTTGGAGAACTATTTCTTTCTTTAACAAGGAAAAACCCTTTTTGACCTCTCCCGGCTCTGCTGGTGTGGGCCCTACTCCTGGCTCCAATTGCTTCTGGTTACCCGAGTAGACCTACCAGCCAAGACCTTGTAGATCAGTGTTTCTCAACCAGGGGGTCGGGACCCCTGGGGGGTCGCAAGAGGGTGTCCGAGGGGTCGCCAAAGACCATAGGAAAACACAGTATTTTCTCTTGGTCATCTGGGTTACATGTGGAAAGATAGGTCCAATTCTATTGTTGGTGGGGTTCAGAATGCTCTTTGATTGTAGGTGAACTATAAATCCCAGCAACTACAACTCCCAAATGCCAAGGTCTGTTTCCCCCAAACTCCACTAGTGTTCTCATTTAGGCATATTGAGTATTTGTGCCAAATTTGGTCCTGATCCATCATTGTTTGAGTCCACAGATGTAGATGAACTACAACTCCCAAACTCAAGATCCATGCCCACCAAACCCTGCTAGTGTTTTCTGATGGCCATGAGAGTCCTGTGTGCCAAGATTGGTTCAGTTCCATCATTGGTGGAGATCAGAATGCTCTTTGGTTGTAGGTGAACTATAAATCCCAGCAAGAACAACTCTCAAATGATAAAAACAGTCCCTCCCCCCAACCCCACTAGTATCCACATTTGGGTATATTGGGTATTTGTGCCAAGTTTGGTCCAGTGAATGAAAATACATCTTGCATACTTACATGACGATTCATAACAGCAGCAAAATTACAGTTGTGAAGTAGCAACAAACATAATATTATGATCGGGGGTCACCACAACATGAGGAACTGTATCAAGGGGTCGCGGCATTAGGAAGGTTGAGAACCACTGCTCTTAGATTTTCCAGCTGGAGTCCTTTTGGATTTTCTCCATGAATGATGTGGATCTGTATCTTTAACCCCAACAAGGGTTGTGCTGTAAAACTGTTTTCCTTAGAAGCTTTAGGGCTGTTTCCCCGGATGTTGTGAGAAACGAAGCTTCTCTACAGGTGGGGAAAGCTCACATCCTGTAACTGGGCTTCCAAAACTGAAAGACTGCCT